GGTTATGAAAATCTTAACAGGAAATCACAGCCAGCATTATGAATGGGTTCATGCAAACTACTTGAGCTATCCCTATTAAAAACACACCTTTTAATCCTAGAAATTCCAAATAGCCAAAATTTATATCTCTGGATAACAGCTAATTGAAGTTGGGTAGGAACAGAGCCCTGTCCTCTGTACCTATTTCTCAGAGTGAATTTATAACAAGTTATATTTTCAAAGCAACTGCTCTTTTGACCTTTTGCTTGCTGAATTTGGCATTCAGGTCTCTACTGTTCTAAAGCCTGAGTTATACCCCTATCCTCTGGACTCTTCCTGTATCACTTCTGCACAAAGGGCAGGGAAGAAAGAACTGCATGGGCAACAAACTGTTTCCTGCTGCTTCTCCTTCAGAAGGTCAAGGTCTACACTGACTAGCAGTGGCTCTCCAGGGTTCCACTCAGGGAACTTCTTTCCCAGCCTTTTCTGGAGATAACCTAGGAGCTTCTGCATGCCAAGTGCATGTCCTTCCAATGGTATGCCATTACCACCTTTAACTGCAGTGCAATAGTAGCTCTCCTACCTCTTCCTTCCCGGTCACACTGCATCATCACCTTAGGATCAAAGGACTTATGCAGATTGAGGTTTTCAAGGACCACCCTGGCACAATCATGCTGATGCAACCTTTGCATGATCAGTGCAACCGTTTTTGTTCACTTGCTAAGTGGAAGTACCAACTCTAATCCTAAAGAAGTTAAAATGGCATTTCACCAGGCTGCTGTTCCGGATGATAGCTTAATAAATGTTGTGCACTCAAGAATACAGAGTTCATACCTGTAAGTGGTAGCTACATATACTAGAGAAAATGTTTGTTTTTAAAAGATTGCTTCAAACGTTCCCAAGGAGAAATGTCTGCATAGTCATAGTATGTTTGGATGATAATATATTAGTTTTGAAGATGTTATGTCAAACAAGACAGACAATGTAGTTGGTAAATAAGAGCTTATACAATCCATACGCATTCTGCTTTTCTTTAAATAGCAGTCCAAATATCATTTGATGAGGCTCTTCCAAATTTCAATGAATTCCATTGAATCAAATTCCATTGAATCAAATCAAAAAATTCCATTGAATCAAATACACAAATCATTCAATAGAAACTTCGGAGCTCATCATGGATATCCGTATCATTTCGTTCCCTCATGAATAGGTGTGCATACTGGAGGGGTGGGTGAGTAGTTTTCCCAAGAAGCCTGAATAATATTTGGAGAAAATGGATGTGATATATTTTTGTTGGCTTACGATTAATAACTTGAACCAAGCTAATAACCAGTGTCTGTGGGCATCTTATTTGCTCTTCTATGTGACAATGTACAATGAGTATTTCAAAATAAGGACTGCATAACTGAGGCCTTTTTACAGTAATTCCTCTGTAAATTGGATGTTGAGAGCATTTACAAACCATTATTGGAGCGATAAAATGATTTCAAGAGGTAGGTTAGGGTTAAATAATCCTTAGGCACTTTTTTGTATGCTGATTTTTAAAAAAATGCTAAAGCAGACGTTTGAATTTTGACTTCACAATTACTCCCACATAAACAGAATCTTTTAAATTTCCAGGGTTAACATTCATGAGCTATTTCATACTTTTGGGGGAAGCATGTCATACATTTCTCCTTCAAGTCACCATCTAATTAATTTGGTACATTTATATTCTTCCTTTCTTCCATGATGGAAGTCAAGGTAGTACACAAGGGGGTGAGAGTCCTCCCATGCACACATTGCTCAGGCCCCAGACCAGCCCCCGAGAGGTTAAATGCTACATAAGAAAAACCATGTGTAAGTGCTTGTCTATGAGCTTTGGCTGTGGGGTGGTATAGAAAAGAAATTAATAACAACTTGAAAATGCACCACACACGGAAAGCTAACATGTTAGGGAGATTAGGCTAAAAAACCTTCTCCCTGACATAACAAGTTTCTTGACAAAGCAGAGAATATTCCAGTATGATACAAGCATGAGCTGGAGTCATTCTGGGACTGCAGAAGCAAAGACGGCCACACTCCGGTCTCTGGCTCAGGGGAGCGAAGGTTACTCCTTACACTTCTTAGGGAGTCATGGGAAAATGAAGTCCACTGTGGCCCATCCACGGGTGCAGTAGTTTGCTCCCCCCTCCTGCCAGAAAGATCTTCAAAAGCCAGTTACTATGGCGTACACCAGTGGACTGGGTGGGTGCACCCTGTGGTTCAGTGTTACGTGCTTGGCATACACAGCGATGCAAGTTCATTCCCCAGAATCTCTAGGAGGGCTGGAAAAACATCTGCCCTAAACTTTGTAGGGCTGCTGCTGCTGAAGTACTAACAATACTGGGAAAGATGGCACAGTGTCTTAGTCAGTAGAAAGCACCGTCCTACTGCCCCTGCCTTTGGCCACTGGGTTATGTCGATATCCCTGATTAAAAGCGGGTAGATTAAAGATTATGCTGATATTATAAAATCCAAGTGATCGGTACTTGCTTTGGTTCCTTTCCTCTCTCCCCTATCCTTTTGCTTCATGTCCATTAGACCGTGAGCCTGCAACTGTCTTTATCTTTCCACATTTGTACATTTAGACATTTTTATTTAGACGGATATTACACAGTATCTTTACAATTAGACATTTACTAGTGACAAACTATTCCAGTAGGTTTAAATAAGCCCTTCCTGTATGGAGATGCTATTGCCACTACTATGGGAAAGAACTCCAAACATACATAAACAGTTTATCACTAGCAGGAGTGCTGCACTAATAAAGCATGCACTGGGCATTGGTGACTCCTCAAATGTTTAGTTTGGCAGAAAATACGCAGATCACAATCAACTACCTCGGCACCTTTCACCAGCGTATATACTGCATTGTCTTTGGGCACTTTGAGAGCCACATTGAGACCAACACCATATAATTTTGGACATCTGGAAATAAAACTTTGAATTCCGTTCCCTATAATCATAAGTATATCCCTTATTTTTCAAAATATGGAATATTTATAATTTGTAATGTACCATCCTGATTTTTTTAAAGTCCACTTTTTAAAGAGGTACACTACCCTTTGTGGTTTATATTCTCGTTGAGCAGGTTTCTGAAGATTAAAAGCTTTGCCACAGTGACTCTGAGGAGCTTCTAAAGTAGTATCAGTTGGAAAGAACAATGCAACAGCATACTTTTACAGTCTCTCAAGCTTAGAGCACTGTCATTCACCATCACCTTCTTTACGAAGAGAAACACAAGTCTTTGTTTATTTACAGGGGCAGGGAGAAGAGGCACACCTTGGTCTTACACGGTGCTTCTGTAGAAGCAGATTGGAAAGCAGAGCGCACAAAACCTTTTATTATTTATGGCAGACCTTGTAGGAACACAAAAAGATATGCATGATTTAAGATTAGGAATTTAATCTGTGTTAAGAAAAATCTTAACAAATTATAATTTATAGCTCAATTAAGACTATGCTGATTATCAAGTGAATTTTTATGCAGTGATATAACTACCTGCTGATGTATAGCTTATATATTAAAGACATTTTATAATGTTGCAATCAGATACAGTGTATTACCTTGTAAAGGTGGGATGTTAGGGAATTGTTTGATGAAATACCTTTTTGATAGTTTAGGCGATGCACTAGAAATGGGTAGGGCAGCATTTAAATGAAACATCTGTTAGTAATCATAAACCAAGTAATTAAAGTAGGCAAGACACCTGTGTGTGAGAAAACTATAGCCAGATCTACTCTCTCTTATGTCAGAATACTTGAATTTAGTTCCAAGTTGCACTGACTCATTTCACTTGGGTTTGCATTCAGACTTTTTGACTAGTGAAGTAATAGGAATGGAATTCTTTTATTAAAAAAAAGAAAAAGTTTGGTTTTATTCAAGGTCATCCAATCAAATTGATGCTCATGCCGTGGGACCTCCTCTTTTTCTCTGCAAACCCTCGCGTCCTTCCAAATGTCCTCCAACTCCGCAGAACAGATTTCCTTTGGTGATGGGAAACCATCCGCTTCTAGTGTTCATTTTGATAGCAGATGGATCCACCCAGATACAATCCTTAGAATGAACTTCAGTTATCTTCAACAAGACACATGTTCATCATCAATACAAAACAAGAAATATAGGGTAGTGTGGATAAGGTCTTCAGTAGGATGGTTTCCAGGTTTACCACACACACACATCCCAATACCAAAAGTCCATTGGTTAATGCATTTGTAATGGCAATTTTAAAAACATCAGCTGCTTATACCTCTCACTTATATAGCAAGGTGAAGCTAAGGTTTCCCTCACATGTCTGCTAGTCATTTCCAACTCTGTTGTTGTTAGTCGCGAAGTCGTGCCTGACCCATTGCGACCCCATGGACAACGTTCCTCAGGCCTTCCTGTCCTCCACCATCCCTTGGAGTCCACTTAAGCTCACGCCGACTGCTTCAGTGACTCCGTCTAGCCACCTCATCCTCTGCCATCCCCTTCTTCTTTTGCCATCTATTGTTCCCAGCATCAGGCTCTTCTTCAGTGAGTCCTTCCTTCTCATTAGGTGGCCAAAGTATTTGAGTTTCATCTTCAGGATCTGGCCTTCTAAAGAGCAGTCAGGGTTGATCTCCTCTAGGACTGACCGGTTTGATCACCTTGCAGTTCAAGGGACTCACAGGAGTCTTCTCCAGCACCACAATTCAAGGGCCTCAATTCTTTGGCGCTCAGCCTTCCTTATAGTCCAACTTTCATAGCAATACACTGCAACTGGGAAAACCATAGCTTTGACTATACGCACTTTTGTTGGCAGGGTGATGTCTCTGCTTTTTAGTATGCTAAAACTTCCAACTCTATGCTTCCAACTCTAGCGGTGGTGCTAATCTCCATTACAAATGGACGAGCCAGCATTGTCTGAGGATGCTTCCGTGGTCATGTGACTGGCATGGATAAACACTTTCACACATGGAAGGCCGTTACCTTCCTATCAAAGTGGTACCTATTTATCTACTTGCTTTTGCATGCTTTTGAACTGCTAGGTTGGCAGGAGCTGAGGCGAGGAACCGGAGCTCACTCTGTTACACAGTACTAGGGATTTGAATTGGCAACCTGCCCACCTTCGGGTCAACAAGCTCAGAGTCTTACCTCCTGAGCCACCATGCCCCTCCACTTATATAGCATCCTGGAAGAAGTACTTGGACCACTGTTTACTAGGAAAAATTTGGCCCTTAGTATACCTGATTTAAGTTGCAACATTTTGCTTCTACACCAGGGGTCCTCAAACTTTTCACCAGGGGACCGGCTGAAAGGTGCCAGTGCTAGGCGCGGCCCAGACAGGTGGTGCGTGAGGGCCGGCAAGGGGGTGGGGAAGGGGCATGGGGGTGTGCGCACTGAAGTCGGGGTGGGGTGGGGCATGTGGCGAGGAGAGGTGTGGATGCACGTGGCGAGGTGAGGCAGGGATGGGCACGCGCCGCGAGGCAGGTGCACAAGGCAGCGGCTTGCTTGCTTGGAGATCATTTTCTCCAAGCGAGCAAACCGCCACCTCCCCCACACGGGGCAAGGTGGGTGGCAGCGGGCACGTGCATGGACGGCGGGTCCAAACGGGCATGACGGGCTCGATCTGGCCCCGGGCCATAGTTTGAGGACCCATGCTCTACACTATAGAATGGCAGAGATCAAAGTGACAGCTCTACTTGCGGGTGGAATCAATACTGCTGTTCTGTTTGCTTTGAATCAGCAGATGCCTTCACTGAGACAAGACGCCTTCCACAAAAGGAAGGTTCTGAAGACACCCTTCAGAACAGCTGGAGGATGGCACTGGGGGATTTTCCCTTCCTCCCTCCTATGTTAGCAGTTGTGTCTTCTGCAACATCCATTGCAGCACTGACACTGGATTCCAGCCTGTAGAATGGGCACTGTTCTTTGCTCACTCGTGGTCTGTTCCTAAATTCTGAATGCTAGACTACGGAAATGCAGGGGACTGAGCCAGAAGCATCTCTATGAAGCATCTGTGAGCCTTTCGTGCCAAGTGAAGCCACAAAAGGCAGCATAGCCAACAATCAGTGTTATCATTTACTGGTGGCTGAAACTCTTGCCTAAGTAGGATGGAACAGCCAAGTAAGATTTTCTAGAAGGTACCATTCATAAACAAAAGCTTTTTAAAATAAGGCTATATAGACGAGTTTCGTGTAGGCTGGAGCATAATTATAGAATTCTGCCCCTTGAAGTTTCATCAAATCATGAGCATCTTCCAGATGCATGGCCAAGATCTTTCTGACTGGGTTGGCTTTTAGTTACTAGAGTAAAACTGAGTATGGGTGTGTAAAATATTCCTTTCCTTGTCAAGAAAGGAAAAGTTAGAAGTTGCCTGTTTCATGGGGGGCTGTTTGATTTATCTGTTTCCTTACATAACAAAGGTGTGGCGGACCACCTAAAAAGTCAGCATTTGATTCAAACCTTAGAGCAGAGCAGGGAAACCACCTCAATTTCATGCCCATTTTGCCTCCTTTCAAAACATAGGCAAGGTCCTTTAATTTCCATTAACATTAGTCAACATGGTCAGTGGTAAGGGATGATAAGAATTGTAGTCCAGCAACACTGGAGAGCTTCAGGTTCCCTATCAAAGGGCAGCATAGAGTGTAGTAATTATATTGAACCTATGTAGGAACTATCCCTGTTTTCTAAACATGACTATTTGCTACTGAATAAACCATAGGTTTGAACCTTTCACAAACCACTCACCTTGTTTACAAACAGCACGCATGACTAAAATGTACATTATCAGTATTAACACCAAATTGTAAAGACAACACATTTAACTTCAAAAGCATTCTTAAAAAAAACAAGCAAATGGAGGAATTTTTAACCTTAAAAGGTTTTACAAAGTAAAAGTGACTTTTAATTGACACCAACCATTTCCATCTATTTTTAGGTTGATTCATATCCTCAAATGATTATAATTATGGAACAATGTATCTTCTGATTAGCTTGTGCAGATACATATGAAATGAATGATTAAAACAATATTAGAAATCTTGTAGCTTATTAAAACAAAGAGGACAGTAAGAAAGTTCATTATTGTTAAGTTTTTCATAAAGGAAAAATAGTGTCTTATTTTGACATACTTTTACACATGACACTCTTTCAACTTCCTATTTTAAAGCTGCTTGAAAATTATTTTTTCCATTTCATAAACCTAATGGAAAAAAATAGCTTCATTTCAAAAATTCTAACAGTAATTTGAGAAATTATAAGATTTCAACAAGGCTTTGCTGTCACGAAATTAATATCAACCAGGCGGAAGACACTAAAGAACAATGTCTGCACTGTGAAAGCAAGGGAAGTGACGATTCAATACTTATGGAACAGGGAAGGCCAGTGGACTTTGAATAATCAGCCCGTGGAAGCATCTCCATTCCACAAATAAGGTGTGCCGTTCAAGGGAACAGTGGTGGATCTTGCTTGCAGACAGGCAGCAACAGATCGTGCTCCAGACTTCAGGATTTGAATTAACAGCATAAAATGGTCTGCAATTGGGAGCAATGTCACACTGGAAGAAGCAAGCACCTGTTTTGAAAATTGCTCGCTTGCTTAGCCATGAAGCCAAAAGCTCTTTTGCACTGAAGCAACAGGGCCCTGAAACACTACAATCATCTTGGGAAGAACTGTTGAGATATTAAACAATTCCATTTTCTCAAGTGGGCACAGTAGCAGGATCCAGTCCATGTTGCTTCATTTGCACCGCAATATCAAAGAGGTAGTCATAACATTCACACCTAGAAAATTAAAAAAAAAAAAAAACAGGAAAAAGAAAACAGGGTGGCACATCATTGTACGATTAGAACTTTTTTAAAAAATAAGTTTAGTAGAAGATACATTACTTTATTTACCACCGAGTAGTAATATGACTTCATGTGGACAAATGTCTTTCACGCTTGTGCAAATTTATTTTGGTAACTTCTTTTTCTACACTAATTAGCGATAAATAAGGCTTTGAGGTTTTAGTTCTTATCAGCTAGCAAAGTAATTGCTTCCCCAGATCACTACCACCCAGGTCTATGTTAAAACTGGCAAAACTTGTAATTATGCTGATCAAGTCTCTGGAAATATTTGGAACACATCTACTGAAAATAAAATGATGACTGGGTGTATAGTTGCTATGATCAATCTGAAAGAGGAAGAGTCAGGTGATTGTTTCCCTGAAAGTGACATGTATTTTCTAGCTGTGCTTCAATGTAACATGAAACATTACTTGCAATAACAGATCATTACTAGTGTAACAGACATCTTGCTAGTTGTACTCACATTGTTTTGGCTTTTTCCCAAGTTTCTCCCCAAACATAAACTCCATGACGTCTGACCAGTACAGCACAGGAGTCTGGATACTCATTCATCGCCTGTGCCATTCTTTCCTTCAGATCTTTCTCTTCAGGTGTGTTCTCAACAATGGGAACCACTAAGGTGTCATTGTATCTAACATCATAATGGGAGACATGGGATAACTCTTCTGTTATGTCAGTGAACAATGGTTCCAAACAATAATTTATATTTCTCTACTTAATTATTTAAAATATGTATGCCCGACTTCTGCACCATAACATCTCAAAGGTAGCTATCAAGTAATGAAAACAAGCAATTTGATTTCAAATTTTAAAAACCGATAAACAATTTAACAAAATGGAAACAGGAGATGCATGCTGCCATGGTGCTAGTAGTTCAAGCAAATGCCATTGAAAGAGGACCTGAATGATTAAGGCACAGCAAATAACAAGCTGAACAAGGGGTCTTCCATTTACTCTGAAACATCTTCCACCCATCTGTGTTCCACTATGTAAATCAGTGGGCACAGTTGTCTGGAAGACTGGATAGGACTCCTGAGCTCAATGGGGATGACTGAGAACATGTGAAATGTGCAATCCAGTGCATGTTAACACAGAAAAATGGCCTACAAATTCCAACATAATCTGGTAGGGTCTTGCTGGGAATCAAAGGAAAAAAGTCTTTTTGATCTAAATATGTATAGAGTTGTACCTTAGGCAGCAATTCTATACATAACTGAAACTAGGCTGTACTGAATTGTGTGGTAGTAAACCCTAGGCTTGCACTGCCTCTCTCACTTTATTTCAAAGAAGTTTACACTTCACTAATTATGGCAGGATCATGCCCAACTGTATTGGATTTTATCTCTGTTTGTCTTGAACACTTTGTAGTAGCAAAATCACTCAAGCTGTGTTACTCCAACAACTCCTCATCAGCACTGTTTCTAAAAAGCAGCTAAGAAAAATGCACAAGCAGGGTAACATTGGACTGCCTGTTATCAGTCCTTTGCCATTCATTTGCTTGTTATACGTTCTGCCTTTCGTGAAAAAACAAGGTCAAATACCAGGAGTCTGAAAGAGAGAGCCTCAGGTGAAATGGTAGGAAAGAGATCATATATGTAATTTTTTTTGCAATATCTAGGTGGCTATATCTTTTACAGAAGAGGAGAAGAGGTTAGGTAGGTTAAATCCCTGGTTGGCTTTGGGGTTCAATTAAGGCTCATTCGGTGTCTAGGAAAGCAGGAAGCTGGGGCCACTATAAGCCACAGGGTGTTCATTGGCTGAAGGGAAATCAATCACATATCCAAGTATTGATAAATTATTGCAAGGTTTTGAGAATGCCTTAGAGGAATATTAGCACTAATACTAGCTGGGATGGCGGTTTTTATTGCTGGTATTTAATGTTCTTATTCTTTTTTGTTCTTTCATTATATTTTTATTGAAGCAGATATTATTATATAAGATTGCAAAGGAGGGCCTTGTCCCTGATGACAGTCTAGAAATATTTTAATTAAGTAGACGCAATATTGTCAGAACGCCATGTTCTTCACTAACAAAGCAAATAGTGTCAACAGAGTATTATTCATGGATCTGGGGGAAATCCGATGCTGCACAAGTAGACTTCCATTTGCTCAATATGTTTTTTCCCTTTCTGCTTCCTCCCTTTAGTACTTCTTGCAAACATGGACAGGAAAACCCCTTCACCCCAATTATCCAGAGCAGCTTAGATGATGGGATGGGTGCTGAACCAGGGAAGTGCCATCAGTGAGAAGAGTTCTATTTATTCTAGTAGTAACCTTAAATGTTAATGCAATAGACTCCAAAAGCCAATTGTGTAATGTGTGAAAATTATCCTACATAACAATTGCACTGATGTTTCTGAAATCTTGTGTTACAAAATGGAATGGAAATATAACACAAGATCTGACTTCTATGAAAACTAATTTGAAGTTTCCAAGTTAACTGCTTGCTTGAATGTTCTAACAGATTATCTTTATTATTCAAATAATATTCTGAGAATCTCAGCTGTGAACAAGATGCAGCATGTTCCTCACTGGAAACTGCACAATGAATACCAAAGTGGGATTAAGATAACCTGGCATTATCTAAACCAAATTAATTAAAACTGGCAGTATACTACCTATGTAGAGGCGTGACAGAAAAACATTAAACAGATAATGATTTTCAAAGAAATAGAAGATTGCACCTCATGTTCTAAAAAAGTTATGATTGTGAAATAATATATATCATCTGTTTATATTACTCATATTATAACCATTTGCTTACTTACAAATGATTTCGATCAATTTAGTATACAAGTTTAGTTCAAGATATCCTGATTACTAGAAAATCCTGAAAGGGAAATATTTGCTCATGGCCTTGCCATGAAATGGGGAATATGAATTAGTCAAAAACTGAGCTATGCATCAGCCACTCTCTGGTTCAACTCACTCTCCGACATAAACTCACTAGGTCTATATAGGCAAACCTTCATAATTCTCAGTCTCCTGCTCTGTAATATGGAAGTAATAATTCTGACTCACCTAAAGAGGGGTTTCTTGAGATTACAGTTAACTTATATGACATAGAGATCATGCATTCTGTTTATTTATTACTGTTGTTATTAGAACCAAATTATTATTAGAACCAAATGGTCAAGTTATTCCTAAGTTAGTTGTAAAGTTAATGTTAACGTACAATATCCTAGGCAGTGGGAAAATGAGAGACATTTTTACATTAACGTACAGGTGTATGTCAAAATGTTGGAAATATAAGAATTTGGATTTTGGTCAATGACTTCATTCCTGCTCTACCTACTCCTTCCAAAGACATCTGTAAAATATCCAGAAACTTAAGCAGAGATTCAATGGAGATAGTAAGTACTATGCATCTGCTGCCATAGATTTTAAAAAGGCAGGGGATGATATCTGTCTTACTCCTGCATAAATGCCAGGAAAAAAAATCAGTGGAAAAATCAACATCCTATGAAAAAGAAAATAACATTTATACTTTTTTCAGACAGGAAGATGATCAGGAAAATGTGGGGTAGGTCCATTCAGATTATGTGAATTGTATTTTACATTTTAAAAATGTGTTTTTCTGATATCACTGAAAGTTTTATGTGTGAAAGAAAATGCAATAGAAACTCTAAAGAACTTCTCAGTGGAGAATTACCTGAAATAGCCTCCTGTGGTACATTTCTTGATTCCTTTTATCATCTCCTGATGAGTAATTTTAAACTCACTTCCTGGATAGAGAAGTGTGGCCATGACAGCAGCTTTGGAGTGAGTATGGATCACGGCCCCTGCTCCTAAGAGGGAAAAGGGAAAGATAATCTCTGTGTTGCTGTTTTCTGAAGGAATATGGGACCTGCACGTGGACATTCAATGTGAGCTCCTTTGACCATATATTCCTGAAGTACAACCTCACCCACTTTCATAAAAATTACTTCAAATAAGGATATAATCAAAGGCAAAACAATTCACTTTCTTAAATCAACAGAAAGCAAACTGCACTGTAATCTTCACGGATCATTTCAGAGTTTCAGTAGCTCCAGATAGCCCATTTCTTATGTATTGCCAGTCAATGAAGCAATGAAGAATATTTGTTTGATCTGTATCATCTTGTCTATCAAGAAAAATGGCTTTCAAGGTAGCTTTCAATCATAGGCAAAACAATAATAAAACAATGCATTAAAATACCATAAGTCCCAACTTACAGTCCCAACAAAATAAAAAAGCACCCAACCATACAGACTCATCTACAATGCAAAACTTAAAAAATTAAGCAGCTTTTGCCCGCCGGCAGAAATACAACAGAGAGGGAACAAACCTCCTTGGCATGGAGTTTCACAGCTTGGAACAGACATCAAGACAACCGTCTCATATGTCACCACCAAACATGCCTCTCAAGGAGTTGTTTTTGAAAAGCAGATATTAAACCTGATAGAAAGCATTCAGGTAGCCTGGTCCCAAGCCATATATGGCTTTATAGGCAGCATGCAGCATTTTGAATTCTGCCTGGAAAAGGACAGTTCACCAATAAAACTCTTTTAATAAGGAACTCACATGCTCCATGTAACCACAGCATTCTGGACCAGAAAAGTTTTTGAACAGTTTCCAGTGGCAGTGCCATGTAAAGTGTTTTACAGTAGTAAAAATGCGATGCAACTATGGAATGCACAATTGTGGCCAGATCAGATACCTCTATGAATGGATGCAGCCTCAGCTTTACAAACACACTCCGGCTCATCACCAAAACCCAGGCTTCCAGACTGAGTCTAGAAGGACACACAAACTGTGCACCTGAGTCTTCAAGGAGAGCACAACTCCACCCAGCTCTGGCTGAATCTCTGTTTCCTGATCTGCCTTTCAACTACACTTAATCTTGTCTGGATTAAGTTTCTATTTGTTGGCTATTAGCCAGTCCATTACTGTCTTCAGACATAAATCTAGAACTAGAACAGCTTTCTTTGATGCAGATGGAACCCAGTGATAATATCATCACATATTAGTGACACCAAACCCCCAAACTCTACACAATCTGGTCAGGTGGGCACATGCAATTGTGGGGGACAGTACAGGCCAATGGCCACTCATCAAATAGAAATCTCTCAACACCCCGTTCTGCAATAGTCCCTCCAAGAAGGACCATACAACACAAAGCCTGTCAAGACTAATATCTAAAATCACTCCCTCTATGAATGTTTTAAACTTCGAACCAGTTCTCCAAAGAAATTAAATCAGAATTCCAACATTTATTTAAAAATAGCCAGAATCATTTGGGGAATCACCCAAAAAGTAGGGGGCAATTCATTTAGTTTACAGGCCTTTTAGGAACAAAACTGTGAGCTGTTTGTTAATTGTTTGTAAAAACAGGAAACACGGGACAGGCTCCACTTAGCTTACTCATGGCTGTGGGACTGATGCTACAGACTAATTCAGAGGATGATAAATTTAGCAGCAGCAAAAAAATCCTGCAGGCAAGTATTCTTCTTACTTTGAATTTAGCTGTATTCAACTTTCATCTCATGGGACTCATTTCTATTAAAACACACCACTTTTCCTATCCCCAGGCACAGGTGTGTGAGGTTTCCTTCTATAATCTTTCATTTCCTCTCACCTGTCCTTTTTTCAACCCAACTGAGTAAGCAGTGCATGGACTGTTGGTTTTCTGCCATAAACGAATTCCCCTACAACAGACTGAGGGCAAACAATGTTTTCATTTATTATATAAAATGGTGGTAATTGTTACATAATAGGCCCCAGTAGGACTGTCATAATTTTACTTGTAATGGGAACTCCTAAATAAATATGCACTTATTTTAGGAGCTGCTTGGAGAAATCTTTTGTGCAACACAGCCCATAAATGCAGGAAATAAAGTAAATACCCCAAGATATTTGGGTTGTTAATTGCAAGAATAGTATTATGCAATAGTAAAGCTATACTCTAGTCTTGCTGCATTTTCAGCTAAGAAATACCCATTTTATCAGTAGACTTTCATGTGCATTTGGTACTGACTTTATGCCAACACTACTTACTGCATACCTCTCATGGTATAAGCATTCATAAAGAGAGGTGTACATTGGCTCTTCTTTAGCTTCTTGTGTAGTGGAGGTCCACTAATGTCCCGTTCTCCCATGTCACACACGAACATATCTTCAGGCTATAATGAAAGAACTGGAGATACTCAGCTGGGAGAATAGATGGATATAGCCATCAATCACACATGTACCTCTTTTCATTCTGATGAATGAGATCATGAACATATGAAAGACTGTAAGAATTTCAAAGAGATGTGATTACAAGCAAGCCTATTATAAGTTCAGTAACTGCGGTGGTCCTATGTTGATCAAGGAAAATACATTTAAACAGCTTCTGAGGTAGCATTTCAGTGCATAATGTGCAATCACACCGCTGTGGAAAGTTGCTTTGCATTCAGTACAAGTGTAAAATTTCCTCATTCAGTATCAGCTCAAGGGATGCCGGTGCAGCAGGAACTGGCTGCAAACACCACTGACTGGCTTGACTCTTGAGATGTCAGAAGCTCCCCTTTTCCCATCCCTGGATCAATGCTGTTTCCCCTTTCCTGTTTATGAATAATGAGTTTAAGTTGCAGACAAACAATGGATCCACCTGCCCAGGGGAATAGTGAGTTCTCCATCATTAGCAATATTTAAGCAAAGACTGGGTAGCCACCAGTCAGGGATACTTTAAACTGGATCCTTGCATTAAACAGAATGTTATACTCTGTGGCTTAAATGGCTTCTTCCTGCTCTGTGATTCTATAGTGAGAGAACATTTCAATAAAAGTTCATATTGCATGAGGACAGCCTGGCTGAAGCTCAGAAACAACACAGATGTGTGGAATCTATCTATGAATCATTGATAAATCTAGCTCCTGAACTGGCTAGGAAGACAGGATGGGCTAAATTTGCTCCAATGCAGAATAAATAGCATTTGGTGAGGCTTCAAAGAAAACCTTTTGTGGTCAAAGAATGATTTATCAGGCTATGGACCAATTTATGATAACAATTTATGATCTTATGATTTAAGATCTTATGGCCAGGTTTTTTGTTTTGTTTTGTGGGGAGGGGTTCTGGTATCAAGCTAATGCAGGGACAAAAATGAAGAATGTTCCTCAACAGCATTTAGGGGCACATAATTAGGATTCCCAGATTCAAGGTTGGAGGCATCACATCTATGCTCCAAATCTATAATCCTCTGAAACCAGCATGGAAAAAACTGGACTGGCTTTCTCTGTGAGGTCAGAAGGTTAACTTCAGAAAGGGAGTAAAAGGGGTGTCTGGGAGATAGGAAGGGGAACAGAGTGGGATTCAAGGTACTCTGAGAGTGCTCTTGCCTCCTTCCCTTCCCATCTAAGCATCTCAGCTGAACAGCTGAAAATGGCAGTCTAGCTGATGTGCAGAGCAGGAGGTGCGAGGTGGTGGAGACTCTCCAGCTCTGCACTGCATGCTCGTAAGTAGTTTCAGGGCTAACAGGCATCAAGGACATAATCAGCATTAATGCTCTATTACTCTGCTATATTATTATATGCTTCTACTAAGCACTAAGTCCCAGTACAGTACAGTAAGATTTACTTCCAGATAAGCATGTAAAGGGCTTCAGCAGTACTGAATACATTACATTTTAAAATTAACACATCTTGTTAATTGTGGGCTGCTGCATGCAATCACCACACACTTATTTGCTGTTTGCAATTACCTTGATCTTAGGTTGGTCTTCAGTTTTCAAACCTCTCCTTTTCAAAGGATTAAACACAAACAAATGAAAGCTGATATCAAGCTTCAGCAGATTTTTTTAAAATTCTGGCACACATACAAATGTAGGCAATACTCCTACTAAGTAAACATGGATGGGGTAAAGCTGTGGCTTTATTTTCAAGGATGAGAGAAGTGGTAAAAATGTGACCAATACCTACCTGAATTCTTTCTTTTTGAACACCAGATGGAGCAATATAGATTTCATTGCTGGAGTGAGAGAAAGATAGTTTTTAGTTGCAGGCATAAAAGCAGCATGAAGCACATGGTGTCAGTTAAAGAAATTGCTTCCACCATCACATCAGCTGTATTCCAGCTTGCTTAGCTACTCCCAGAAGCCTTAGAACATAGAAACAGAGCAAGTCAGAAGGGACCTCCTGGGCCATCTAGTCTGATCCCTGGCTCCAGCCGATTCCGCTCATGACATGCCTACCATCCTTTACATCCAAGTAAACACAGAGAAGACAGCTTAATACAGCGTTGATATTATTACTTAATACTTAGCCTTAATACCGGGTTGATGTTATTACTTGTAGTTACCCTTAATGCTCTCTATATTAAATATTTGTGATCACATCATGCAAGTTTTCAAACAGAGCAACACTTGCAACAGATACTGTTGCTCAGATGCCACAACGCCAGGCTATGGGCCCAAGCAAGCTGGAGCCAAGGGGGCCTTTTCCAGAATGTTTAGGACAGAAGAGGCGGATGTATGTCACGCATATGTCTGTAAACACATCAAAAGGAAGGGTGATGTTGTGGTTAGAATGCTGTTTGGAAAACCAGACTTCTGATCTTCACTCAGCCATGAATCTCACAGGGTAACTCTGGCCCAGTCTCTGGTTTTCAGTCTAACCTAACTCACAGGGTTGTTGTAGAGATAAAATGGAGAAGAGGAAAAGGGCCATGTAAGCTGCTTTGGGTTCCTTGCAGGAGGAAACAAAAGTGGCATAAAAATTTAGTAACAGTAATAATCATTTGCAGATAGGAAGTACTGCAAGAAAAACAGTTCTTAATCATCATACTGATATTATAGCATGCGTTGATGCTCTTGCTTCTAATCATGCAGAGCAGAGACACCTAGTGGTTTACTGGTCAAGCTAAACAGTTTCCTTTGTATTTGCAGACAATGACAACATTATTTTTTGACATTTAAGAAGGATTAAGATTCCATTTGATCACGAAACTGGCAAATGGCTAAAGACAAAAAAACCCACAGGATATCAGTGGGGATTATGAAGAAATTTTAAAGAGTTCATATTTTAACCCTTGCTATTAATTGACAAGCTGGACCATAAGGAAGGCCGAGCACCAAAGGATTGAGGCCTTTGAACTGCGGTGCTGGAGAAGACTCCTGCGAGTCCCTTGGACTGCAAGGCGATCAAACCGGTCAGTCCTAGACTGCTCAGAGATCAACCCTGACTGCTCTTTAGAAGGCCAGTTCCTGAAGATGAAACTCAAATACTTTGGCCACCTAATGAGAAGGAAGGACTCCCTGGAGAAGAGCCTAATGCTGGGAACAATAGAAGATGGCAAAAGAAGAAGGGGACGGCAGAGCATGAGGTGGCTAGATGGGGTCACTGAAGCAGTTGGTGTGAGCTTGAGTGAATGTTGGGGGATGGTGGAGGACAGGAAGGCCTGGAGGAATGTTGTCCATGGGGTTGCAATGGGTTGGACACGACTTCGCGACTAACAACAACAACAACATTAATTGACATGGGCATTCTAGTATTGGAAGCTAATAGGAAAACAGAAAAAATAGTTTGTCGTATTAGCATCCTTCATGTGCATAAAATACTCACACCAGCCTATATTTCATGTATTTTGTTCTGATGGATCTTACATCACTTTTTAAAGACTGTGGTGGAGGGGCCAAAGCTCAGTAGCACATGGAAAGCTGTGCATGACAAACCCTGGCAAAAAGGATCAGGATAGAGACCTTCCTCTGCTCATGAAGCTGTTCCAGCCAAGAACAAGTATATATTCAGATAACAGTAAAATCATCAAGTAGGTCAGCCAATTTACTTAAACAGCCTGACTGCAGAATAACATCGCTTCTCATGATATAGCAAGTATTATCAAATTTCTCGGGGTTTACATTTAAAAAAAAAAAGTTTGTTGCTCTCATAGTTACGGAAAGAGAAATTTGAGCAGACTAATACTACCCTCATACAGACACTGTTGAGATCCTGGTGACTTGTGAAACAGGTTTTTTTTTTGTCTTCAGAATTCATTGTCCTGTGAGAACCTGGTTACAACCACCTTTGTGAACTGAAGTCCCAGTCCTCTTTTTACTTAATTCCAAAACAAGGTAATAATAGAATAATGACCTTACTAGGAATGAGGTACAGTGGCCTGGTTTGGTCTACCATATCTTTGCTTAATAGATATGAATGAACCCTGTGCAGACAAAGCACTTTGTTTCGACAGCATGCTGCAGAGGGATTCAATTAAGCACAGTGTCCTGTTAGGCCTGGAATTGATAAATTATAGGTAACAGGTTCATCACAAGCTGCATTTTAAACTATGTACTGGAGATGTTTAAGATCCTGGCAAATTCTGACTCAGGTAAAGACAGTTTCCTGGCTCACATATAACAGAAAACTAATTAATTAAAAAAATTCCATCTTATTGCATAACACCAAGAAAGAAAAGGGCCATTTCAAGGATAGGAAACACAGGCAAAAAGCTTGGGCATTATCTTGGCTTATTAAGCTGACATATGATCAGTCAAATTAGACTACTGTGTCAAACTGTTTCAACAGTTTCAAGAATGAAACAACTTCTGATGGTTAAAACCTCTCTGGGTGGTTCATAAAATGGAGCTTAAAACCATAAAAGACATAAACATCAATTATAATATAAAAATCTAAGAAGCTGAACATTAAAAAACTATCATAACCAAAGTAAAGGCCAGCAACAGAATGCTGATACAGTTGTGAAAATGCACAGCTAAAAAGCCACGGAGAATAAACTGTCTTCCCCTGCCACTATCATAGGCACCAGGAATGGCATGTCGGTGCTATTACATGCTACCATTGAAAGGGTCCTTTCTTGAAACCATTGCTTCACCTCATTTGGCGTGAGGTCCTTATATGATGATCTTTAAGTCCAGACAGCCCCATAGAGATCACAGGACCCAAGCTATCTCTGTCCAGGAGAGGACATAGCTGGCAAACCAGCTGAATGAAGAGAGAAAAGGTACTCTGATCTGCCAAGGTCATCTGGAAGTCCAGCAAAAGCAATAGGTTTAGGAGTGTCCCCAGATTATCAACCTGATCTTTCAACCTGATCCAGAGCAGCAATGAGCTTCTTTCCAGGACTCAATAACCACTCAGCCACAAGGATTTTCTTTTGCCAGTTTCAGATTACTGGCCCTCATCCAACTCATCGCTGAGTTTAGGCACTGATCCAGAACTTGCATAGCCTATCTCAATTAACTGTTTAAATCCATATGCTACTCTTTTACAAGAGAGTGGATATCCACAGGAAAGAAGCTTTTAGTATAATTTACCTCTTCAGTCAGACCAACATTTGGTATGTTCTTTATGAGAACAGAAGGCTTGTTTTTCCTTTTATTGCCACTAAGAGGAGCTAACTATCCACAAATATGCAGAGCTAGCCCAAGAGAAACTTTTCACTGATATGGTTCTTTAGAAAGCCCATTTATAACAATGTATCTGCAGTAAATCCTTCCCTCTATGACCATTAACTTGTAAAATTACTTATATTCTGCCTAAAGCACTTGAGAAGTGGCTTAAGAGTGACAACTTCTTCAGCTGGATCCACAACATTTTTGAGCAGCTGTATCGCACTTAAATAGCCTTCTCCTGCAGAGATATCAAGCTGGGTTGAATGACCTGAAGTGATCAGACTCTACATTAGATTTTAACATCTGTTGTGTTTTACTATTCACTTTCCCACCAAACTGCTGATCTATTCATAAGCAGGCATTAATCTACAAAACAAGAACAAAACAACATAGCACTTACCCATGCTTTATGCTGATTCCACCACCAGTCCCTGTAACCCAACCTAAATGGTAAAACTGTCGACAAAGCTCTGGGATCAGATTTCGTGGGTGCAAATCCTCCTAGAGATGAAAAAAGTAACTGTGTATTTACATTTTTAAAATCAATGTTGCAGTATTTAGTTGATCAATCAGCTTAATTAAGGGTGCAATCCTATAAACTCCTGACATCATCTGGGAGGCCATAAGACTCCCTGGAGTCTCAGCTCTTGATCCTGTAATTCTGAAGGCCAAACCTCACTTTGCCCTGTTGTAGATGTCTTGTAAAGAACTGCACTGGTAGTCTATGCAAGAGGGTGACTAAAAATCAATGATTACTTTAAAAAAGAAATCTGATTTTTTAAATTTAAAATTGTTTCTTTTCATTTAGATTTTTTAACAAAATGCTTTTTGCAGAAAAAAATCTAAAGATAGTTCTCTATTTAAGATATAATAGACTCCAAAGGTAATTCATCATGAAATAAAAATTAGTTTTTAATTATGTAGCATAAGGCTGTATATTCATGTAATGTTTGCTTTTTCTGGTAAATGAATTCCATTAATCAAATCACAATGTCATGCTCTTCCAGAGGTTTCTGTGAGATTATTGAGGAATTTTTCTATTTAGAACATATTATCACAGATGCTTGCTTTTACTGTTCTTAAAACCAAGAATATTTGTCTGTAGAGATCACATGCTTGTTCTTCACAGCAAAAATGTTATAAACATAGAGTTGAGAAAAAGACCTTAATCTCATTGTTCCTTTGTAAATCTATGTACACAAAATCAACCCCTTACCTCTTAAGTGCTAAGTATAATAAATTAAATGAATAAGAAAAGATTGTTGGGAATCTAAGTGTGAGGAGGAGGGGCAAGCACTAAAAATGAAAGTAAAACCTTTTGAGCAGAATATTCCACAAGTCTTTGGATCTTTTTCTGTATAATCTGAGGTTTCTCATATTATTCTTTCCCTGGAGGAGAAAACCTATAAGGAAAACAGGCCATAAAAGAGACCCAGTTTGGGAATATTTTAATGATCTCCTCTACCTACAGGTTAGTCAGGCATGCGTGCAAATTATGTAGAAAACCATTATTTAAATAGTCTTTCTTAAATCCAGGTGATTTAAATCAACTTCAACCTGCTACCCAAGGTCACAATCGCAGGGAGATAAGCAGGTGTGCCAAGTGGTGGGGAAAGGAGGAAATAGGGCCATAGAGTTATGCAATTTCAAACTGGCACCCCAGTCCCCTCCAATGGTAAATCTAGATGGCTAAAATCAGATGTCTGGATAAAATGCAGGGCATGAACTACAGCACTGATGCTTATAGCACTGGATGTTCATAGGCCTCCAAGTTCAGAGGCACCTGCCATGGGGACAAGAGAACTGCACCCTCAAGTTGCTTAATCAGGCAGACTTTTTGAAATAGAAATACTTAGAGAAAAGTGTATAAAGCTGTATTGTCTGGAAGACTGCCCCCTTCTCTTTCACTCAGGAGGGAGCACTCCTTTTGGGATGGTGTGTGCACCAAAATGTTACTAGAAACAGAGAGTACCTTAGGCATTCAGAGTGCAATTGTACTTTGTTAAACTTCTTAAGCTTTTACTTTTCCTATGCAGGTGGGTAGAATGAATTTAAAACATGTAAGCAAGCTATAACAGCTTTTACAAATAAAATCGTAAGACCAATATAATAGTAAATGCCTGTTGTAGAGACAGGGGCTGAAAAGATATTAAAGTTGACATAAGGTCTCAGTAGAAAACTAGTTCTATCGCTGGGTTGGGGGGGGGGGCAGAAAAGGCCTTCTCCTTGTTGCCACCAAATCTCCCTTGGAGGTGGCAATCAGAGGCAGACCCTGGATTGTGACCTTAGTATCCTGGTAGAATGAAGTTACAGAACTCTAAAAAGTTTGTTTTCAATATAGCTCCTTAAGATGCTCGATGGAAGCTGTGGTTTAAGCATTTCACTAAAACTGAACTGAGCTTGGCTATATATTTTCTCAGAGAAACATCACTTCCAAGTTTTTAAAATATTCACATTTAAATTGGAGAAAAATTAATTAGATTTCTGAAACTCATTCAGCTTGATAAAGTGAAGCTGTCATTGGTAACGGAGTTACAAGATAGCTTTCAAATGGAATTTTGCTGAAATTACCATTAACAACTGCAATTTGTCATTCTTCATTTACCACATTTCAGCAGCTGCCAAATAAACACTTCAGGGCAGCTTTGCAATGGATGCAAATAGGAGTATCTCTACTGAAGAATATATAACCATGCAGGTTTACACCAGTTAATGTTGTGAATCATTGCTAATCTGGATTTGGCTATAAAAATAAAACTTCCTTTGAATTGTTTCATATTATTATCTATTAGTTTAGCCTTTATACACACTATTTGCTGCAAAGAAAAATGATCTATATTTGCATAAGCTGAAAGTAAGTTTCACCTCACCGGAACTTCTTTCGAGATGACTGTCATCTTATACTAAATATCAATATAATACCAGACATTTACAAAGAGGTTCACCAAGGATTTTCAGAATAACCATTAAGCCAACAAGACCGAAGTATATTGATGAAAAAACTGCCAACTAACACTTGAGGGGAACTTTAGGTATTCATCCATTGTGCTTCCTGTTAGCTTGTTCAGCAAAGGACCTAAATTACTTTATCAAAAAGTACAGAAAATCTGATATATGTTCCAAATATATAATAGGCCGTTTATAAGTGGATTTATCATGAATGAGTTAGACTGTATGAACAGCGATCAGTCAACTGAACAAAGCCAGTGTCATGAGATCAGATGTGTCACTTCACGCTTGAACACAAGGCCCAGATAATTGGATAATGTAAGTGTGATGTAGTAGCTAAGAGTGCAGGAGTGGGACTCAGGCGATCTGGGTTCTAGGTCCTGCTCATCCATGGAGCCAACTAGCCACGAGCTAGACCAACCTACCTCACAGGGTTGTTGTGAGGATAAGATTGAGGGCAGCAGGAGGAGAAGGATGGAATCCACTTTGAGTTCTTTAAAAAACACTGGGATAGAAATCAGATAGATAGAAGATAGATAGATAGAAATATCAGCCTAGGATCCAAGTGCTGGGTAGGCACAGCCACAGCACAACCATTAGGCTGTTGAGTCAAATCATTCCTAGGCATTTGCTAAGCAAAACAGCACTACACATTGAATGGGGATGACACAGGTCAACTGCGTAGCATCAGCAGCCTGGCATCCTATGAGCCAATAACTGGCTCAAGATCAGAAAGAACACTGCAACATTTGTAAGAGCATTGCTAGGCAGAGTAAAGCCTGGCATTCTGTTTGCCCCAGCAGCTTAGGACACTGCTTTATATTGGCATAGATCTTGGACCTTCTGGTGCAATACTGCGACAATGACTAGCAATAGCTTGTACATTTGATCTTATTTCCCTTAAGAATTTATACTAATAGGGTTCTAGACACTGACTTCATCTTACTTCTGAAGAGGGAACTTGGAATTATTTCCAAGTCTTTAATTTTTCCTTCATTCTAGCTTCTACATTTAACTAAATTTGTTTTTTCACATGCCTAGAGGAACTTAATAACATTTTAGCTTATTTTTTATATTCCAGTACTGTACAGGAGGAAGTAAAAAAGGAGAGTTGATAAATTTAGCATCTTTTAATTCAGCTTTACACACCAGTAGTAAACAGGCTCCTTCATGGATCACTGCCTTATCGAGGCGAAGGGGCTTGTGTAGCTCAATGAAGCTATGAGCTATGCCATGCAGGGCCACCCAAGACAGACATGTTACAGCAGAGGGCTCTGACAAAATGTGATCCACTGGAGAAGAAATTAAAAGACGCTTGCTCCTGGGGAGGAAAGCTATGGCAAATCTAGACAGCATGCTAAAAAGCAGAGACATCACCCTGCCAACAAAAGTGTGTGTAGTCAAGGCTACGGTTTTCCCAGTTGCAATGTATGGCTGTGAAAGCTGGATCATAAGGAAGGCCGAGCGCCAAAGGATTGAGGCCTTTGAATTGTGGTGCTGGAGGAGACTCCTGCAAGTCCCTTGGACTGCAAGGCGATCCAACCGGTCAGTCCTAGAGGAGATCAACCCTGACTGCTCTTTAGAAGGCCAGATACTGAAGATGAAACTCAAATACTTTGGCCACCTAATGAGAAGGAAAGACTCCCTGGAGAAGAGCCTAATGCTGGGAATAATAGAAGATGGCAAAAGAAGGGGACAGCAGAGGATGAGGTGGCTAGATGGAGTCACTGAAGCACTTGGTGTGAGCTTAGGTGGACTCCAGGGGATGGTGGATGACAGGAAGGCCTGGAGCAATGTTGTCCATGGGGCCGCGATGAGTCGGACATGACTTCACGACTAACAACAACAACAAGAAAACAGGGGAGTTTTGAGAAGCAGTAATTGTGTGAGAAGCACATTTGTCCTGCTTGCCAATTTTATAATAGCAGTTTTGTCCATAGCAATGCTTTTAGTTTTATATTCATGCTACTTTCTCTTTCATGACAATGATGTAATCACAGATACTGTTTCTAATGTTCATATAAACACCATGCTATCTTTACTTTATTTTTATAATGCTCTTATATAGGGCATTTCAGAGATTTCAATTTATATTTTTAGTCAGGTGGGCTATTTCCTTGCTTTGACTTAGCCTGGTTACCCATTATGGTGTCTTGAACTAAAGTAGTTTATGTTTGGAAGTTAAGCAACCAAATTCACATGGCTTTCCATGGTTTCATGCTGTTTTTTCTGTCCTAACTGGAGATGCAACAGATAAAACCTGGGTCCTTCCACATGCAGGTATTCTCTATCATACTCAGCTATGGTTGCCCCATAAGCGGATAACAAAGCAGAACTTAAAGGTAATATCCTTAGATGTGCTGCTTCTGAACTTGGAAGTACCTGTTGGTAAGCTATTCTCATTTTGCATAAAGCATCCAAAATGCGGAATGAGAAAATACACTGTTTGAATGTGATGTTTGTACAAAAATTACAGAGTCATGAGTGCAGCCCTCACTGTCACTGCTCGATTATGTCTAACCCAAGTAGTCTATCCTAACATTTTTATACTCCTGAAACTTGGCACACAGTTCCTCATGCCAATAAACAAGTAAGTCACATTTGATTCGACTCCTTACGTTTCCTGGCAGTCCGTGGGTTAACAGGATGCATCGCTTTTCTGGCAGAGCATCTTGGAAGACAGTCAGAAAGTAAATAAATAAAGCTCCTTGCCTCTTTTTCTCCCTTCCCTCATTTGTTATACACTGTGCACCAAATGAGAAAGACAAAAAGGCACCTTTTTAAAAAGGTGGCGATTAAGGCTTATTTGAATCGTCGACAAGCAAACTATCCTATTTTTTTTTAATCAAGATTTGTTGTTTTCCAAACAAATGCTCCGTCCTAAACAAAGAGGGCTGGCCGCGCAAACTGCTAGCAACACGTTTTTTGGGACGCATGGAGCAGTTCCTCGGATCTCCCCGTTACCTTAGCGCCGTCCAAGCCATTCCTGCATGGGCAATCGCTATCCCCACGTTGCTCGGCCATAGCACTAGGGCGACTTCAGGCTTCATTCCCTGCCCACGTCAGGACGACTGAATGCGGAGCGAAGAAAGACCCCGGGCCCTTCCCGACTGCCGGCGCGGGGAGGAGTTTTATCGAACCGCTTGTTGCAAGAACTGCAGCTCTAGCAGGGGAGACGGTTCGTGGTGCGATGCGAGCCACGAGACCTGTGGCCCTTCTTTAATAGGCCTCGGCAACCGTAGCAACGAAACTGAGGAGCTTGGGTGACATGCTTCACTTCTTGATCACTTGCATCTTTATTCAGAAGCAAGCCTGCTAAATTTAGTGGATTTACTCTGAAGTAAGGATGCAGAGAATTAAGGCTTCAAATATTAATTGGGCAGTCACAACTCTTATTTCTGGTAAATGTCTCCATCCAGGGATGCCAGTTTACATGTCTACTTAGAGTACACGTGTTTTTGCTTTTCTTCTGAGCCTTTGGAGTAATTCAATATGAACTGACACCGGGTTTTTAGAATGGCTAGTGTATACATAGGCACAAATGCTCTGCAAAGATCCTATGAAGATTTTTCCAACCAGCAGAATCATTGGAGCCTGGCTTTTTCATTTCTTGCAGTGCTTTCTACCCCACCTGTGTCTTTTCAGGCTTCTGCATCTTCTGCTCATTAGTGTAACATTCTTGGTTCACCAATTACTGTGCCAAGTATTTGATTATATCCAATATAAGTCTGAACACTGACCATGTTTTCACAAGTATGATGCTGTTCAGGAGTGGGCAAAAGATAATTTGTAGCTTACTGGCAAGACTGTCTGACTCCCAATTGTTTCATCCCTGTTTCTGCCCTTAATTATACTTCTGAATTAAAGGAAGCTTTGACTGTGAATTTGATAGAGAAGACTATGCATAACCAGGAGTGGGCTTTTGCATGGTCAGACTGAGCTTTGTTTAGTTTCAAATCTCAAATCTTTAATTTTCAGTGTATGCGTTTGTACCAGACTTTGCTTGGTGGATATTGGGGTTCTCATAAAATCAAAGTCAATCTGATAATTCTGAAGTGCGCCCACCGCACTGTACGAAGTATCCAAGTAGACCAATTGTGGAAGTGACAACTGCCAAGGATTCTGTGCTAGAAGTGGTGCCCAGTACTGGGGCAACAGGGATTTAGCATCTCCTCCAGGAACAGGAAGGCCCATTTCTGGAGCAGGGTAGGTCAGCAGAGCTTGTGCAAGTGAGTTCCATTGACCTGTCCCGATGCAGAAATGAGCATTCCTGCTGATTTCAGAGCTAAATCCCAGCTTTACAAGTAGTGGGTACTGCTTGCAGTACAGAATGCATGGTAACTCCTGCTTGCCGAATGGAATCGGCACTGGGTCCTTGGGTACTACAATGTGTTGTGCAAAGCTGTTGTGCATATGCTTGTTTTCCGCATTTGTAAGCAGCCCAGAGAAACTTCAGGTTAGGCAACAGCATAGAAGTGAAATGAAAAAATAAATAAATAAAGCAGATTTTAAAAAAAAAGCTGTAGGTCCTACAGTCCAGGGCAAACAGTGGTACCCTTTTAAAAAGGCAGACTTACTTGTGTATACACACACACACACACACACATATATTCCAAAGATATATATAAACTTCAGATCTGCAGGAGAGGCCCTTCTCCGGGAACCCTCCGTGAAGGAAATTAGGAGGGTAGGTTCTCGGAGGAGGGCTTTCTCTGTGGTGGTGCCCAATCTATGGAATGCGCTCCCCAGAGAGGTCCGCCTGCCGCCACCGTTATTCGTTTTTCGGCGCCAGGCGAAGACCTTTTTATTTAAGCGTCATTTTAATTGTTAACAATATTTGCTTATTTATCTGGCCAGGGCGATTTCTTTTATATTGTTATTTCTTTTATATTGTTAATTTTATATTGTTATTTTTGTATTTTATTGTATTTTATTTTGTGCTGTGAGCCGCCCTGAGGCTTCGGCAAGGGGCGGCATAGAAATGTTTTAATAAATAAATAAATAATAAAGATGTCAGAGCCAGTGTAACAAACTCTTTGTCTTAGGGTGATTCTGAGCACATGCTGTATCTAGGAAGATGTTCTTAGAACCAGACCTGAACTAAGTTCACTGTTCTTTCACACAGAAGCCCATTCTGAACTATTCCAAACTTTCCTCATTTTAGCAACATAATTTAGGTAGAAAAATAACGCCGTTTTTGCTACTGTGCAGAATCTGAATTGCTTGCCAATCTGCAGACCACCCCAGAGATCTATTTTCTGCCCATGCCTGTTCTGTCATTTTTGCACGAACACTGTCTCTGTCCCTTTATATATATATATATATCTGTATGACAAGCAGAACATTAGCTGGTACAGTATTCCCTAAAGATGGATACATGCTGCGGGAGCTGCGCGGATGGGAAGCCCGCTTCGGGAGTGGGGGGCGCTTGGATGAGAGTAAACCGAGATTCCAATTTTGTCCAAAGGGCCTTTGGGTCTCCATGAATTTTTGTTCAGGCGCCAAAGGTGCATAGGCTGCGGTAGAGGGAGCGCTTTCGTTCAGGCAGCGGCAAGGACAGCCCCGCTGGTAGGCGGTAGGGAGGGGGAAGAGCAGCGAAGATGGCAGCCTCCTTGTGGCTGAGCAACTGCAGCCGGGCAACTGCGAGCCTCCTGCTAGGCAGGAGGGTAGCGCGGGGGGCTCTTGGTTCCCGACCCCACGCGATGGGCTGGAGGTTTCTGCATGGGACCCCGGACCTGTGGGGTGAGCGTTTGCTTAGTTGCATTTGAGGCGTCCCGTTAATTCTTTCGGCCAGCGATGAGTGGGTTGTAGGTTTGGGAAGACAACAGTGACATTGAAGAAGACGAGGCGGTGGGCCTGCGCTTGTTTGTACACCCGTGTGTGTGTGTGAGAGAGAGAGGGAGGGGGAGAGGGGAGGGGAGAGAGGGAAAGGGAGAAGATGGGAGGTAAGAGGGAATCGCTAATTAACGACAAGGAAGCAAGATTAAATAAATCTGATTTTACTGTTTCGAGATTGTGCTGCAGGTGGATGGGAAGTAAGAAGTGTGCGCATGTGTTGTGGAATGATGGTGTTCAGGATTTGAAGGAAGACGCTCAGTGGCCTTCTTTTGCTTTAGGCACGTTTCTTGGGACAAAAATAACAGCAGTTTAAAGCTGCAATCTTAGGTATCTTTAGGCA